CAGCACTACTGAAACATTCAGCTTTCGATCGCGATGCATTTTCATGATGTTCACCAGATCGGATACCACGTCGGCTTGTGAAGTCTCTGTCTAAGTGGTAGCCTCAAAAGACGAACACTGAGTCTCGGCGTTGATGTTGCATTAGCTACCGGAGATGGAAAATTCTGCGGCGCTTCGATGTTTTGCAAAGTAGGTACCTGATGTAGTATGCATCGTGCAGCGGGATCTCCGATCGGTAGGTGGTAGAAAGTGTGGACTCTGGAGGCTCTAGGCCGGGTCGTAGCCGAACAGCGAGCCGAGCTCAGCGCAGCACAGCACAGCACGCTCGATATTCTTAGCGCCCAGAGTCTCGGGACGCCGAGCTTACATGCTTTGGCCTTTTGGCAGTTGCAGTTGCAGTTGAAGTTGCATTGCCTTTTCTTTTCTTCCTCTTCTTCTCCGCTTGGCCATCTCTGTGTCGCCAATCTCAGAGGCTGCGTTGTGCTACTGTAACTAATGCCGTGCATGCCGAAAATTGGGGTGTCGCTTCTGCAGCCTCATCGTTCTCGATTTAGCATAGCATACAACCCATGACATGCACTTGTGACCAGGAATCCCGACGAGGTTGTCGTGAGATATCTCTCGGTTGGTGTCTTGGAGTACAACGGTATGTTACATAGTCGCAACGACTCATCAATGTCGCACGTGGCAGCGAGCAAGGGGCTAGTGACACGAGCAACACCCGATATTCTAATCAATAGGTAAAGTTATCTCTCCACATACGATCGGTCTGACCATCAACTTAAGGTTGGCTCCGAGATATACTCCGCAAATGCCCATCTACCTAAGAATAGATACGATTAGTCTAAGGTTCCTAGACTATCCTACGAACCGTGTTATGTGCATGCTGCGGATTATGTATTATCATGCTTATTATTGGCTTCGAACACCGGGGGGTGGAATCAAAGGCTTCTGGAGAAGGGCTTATTGGCGTATGCGGCCTTAACTCCATCCCCGGCCGGGATCTGGCCGAGACCGTTGCTCGCTCACTCGGAGATTTTGCTTGTCGATTGATTACTTTACCATGCTTGCAATTGTCAATGCCTGCCCTGTCAATGATATGTAAGCAATGCGCGCGCTCTTAGTCACTTGAGATTCTTTGCCAGCAAACGCCGCGAAGACTCCGATTCTCGCGTCCACTCACTTAATATTGATCCGGCGCTGCTGAGGATTATTCACACCGATGGAGGGGCGCGGGCTGGACATGCGCAAAAAAAAACTTCACGATGCATCTTTCATGATTGCTCAGCTTTCATGGTATTTCCGGCTTTGGGGCGGTTACCGGCAGTTCGGCTTTCGCATTCAACAGGAGCAGCGGCCGCGCCGGGCAATGCGTACATTGCTATACTAAAACCAAGCCAAGGTGAGCACTCGCTGTGACACGGTTACACGTGCACGCCGGAACGACAGGCTAGAACAGCGCCATGATCGGTGCCTGCATGAAGACCCAGGTACCCGTCGGGGCCTAGGCGTCTGCGCTGGGGGGTGTTGCGCACGGAAATGGGTGTCGGGCTTCCCCTACCAACCTATGGGCTTGTCAGATGAGCTGCTCTCACTGTGGGCGAGAACCCGAGGATCTGGTTCTACCGTGAGAAAATTCGAGCAATTGCGGTGGAACCCATGTCAGTCAGACATTCAGATGTTACACACGCATTGGTCCCTGCCGCCGTGTGCCGCACGCCGCAGCAGCGTGCTTCGTGCATTGCGTATTCGTACATCACATCGGTGAGTCCTTAAGCAAAAGTGCTGTTAGTGGGAAATATACGCTAACAAATTTCTAGCAATTGCTAGAGCCATCCATAACCGCGGCACATTCAAGTGTGGCTGTGCAGAGTCTACAGTACCTCGCATTTGTGGCAGGCGGGTCTGTTACCGCACTGAGTCTTCGGCCAGACCTGTCTACCGTATTGTCCGTCAGACTATTTTCCCACCAAAGCTTAATTTGGACGCGCTCCGATACTGGAGCTAGCCCTCGCAACGTGATCACGAGGCCCAACAACGTTGTGTATGTACAACAATGACTACACGCCTGATGCGAAGACAATGACCCGTCGATTAGGTACCAGCATTGGCCGAGGTCACGGGTAGCTTGTTCCCAACAGCAGTGAGGCCGCCCGAGGGAAGGGTGATGATGAGTCAACGACGGAAAACCGCGGCTAGCCAACACCAAGTCTCGTAGATAACGTTTACGCAGCCCTCTCAGCCCTCTCTCTATCTTGCACATCTACAGTTACAGATGCAGTAGCAAGTATATTGGCGAATAGTCGAGAAACATTCTATTGCAGGTGCATTACGTACCACATGTCACCTCAGCACAGCCATACGTAAGCTCGGCATTCTATGCATGGTTCCGAAGATGCAAGCCCTATTCATTTCAGAGTGCCAACGCCTATTTCCCCAATGTAAGGCTGGTATGTGCCAAGATTCCATTCGCTTCGCCGCGGAAACGTGTTTTTCGAAAAGGCGATACGTTTGGTTTGGAAAAGTATGAAATCCCATACGTGCAACACGCAATGTCCAGGTCGCATTTTGCGTATGCTGTGTATTGCACCGCCACCGTTCCACTCGGGACTTGGCTGTCGACAACGAATCGAAATCTACTCCCCCCGCCTTATTGCTGGTAACGCCACCACGTGGAAACCTTCCACGATAGAATTTTCGCCACACACACCCTCTCACGGTTGCGGGCGCGAATTAGAGTTTATCAAAGTATCAGCCTAAGCCTATTCAAGTCCCCAGTCAGCTCTTCTGTGTAATTCCACCACTATTCAAGAGAAGGCCTCCGAATCTAGCAAGGTACCTTTGCCAATGCTGGGATAAGGTTGATGTGTGGGTACGCGAACGACCTATCACGTCTCACAATTCTAGAATCTGCCAGCGGAGTCGACGCAAGATGTGCCGGGACATTGTATGACCGCCCACAGCGGGCCGTCGCCCAATGCCCCAAATAGAACCAGACGTGCCAGGATACTCCCAGAACCTGTCTTGCCTGTCGGGCCCTGCATCTGTGTGGCGTCAACGGCATGCGCCGAGATCCAAGATGCAGGTTCTACTTGCATACATGCAGCAAGCAAGCAAGCATCAAAGCCACATCTGATAAATGAAAAAGTTATAGCATTTCCGCGCCAAAAACAAGGAAGAGGAAAATATGTTCGCTTGCATCGCTATGACGTCGCAGGTTACAGTAAGTCCGGCGCGGCGAAATAACCGCAATCCAATCGCATCTGCATTCCAAGATCGGTATGCTCTTGAGCGAAGAACCATGTCGTGCTGAACAGGGTAAACAATAACCCGAGCGAAGGTTGGTGTGGAGGACAGTGCAGGCTGTTGATACCTTCATAGAAATCTTCTGGGCGAATGATACATATGAGCCTTGCGCGGAACGTCCGACGTCAGCTCCTTTGGCACGTAGACTGCAGCCAAGCAAAGTCCGCGGAGGTGATGCATTGTTTCGTGCTATGCAGATTCAGCCCGTCTCTGCTCGTACCATGGGCAATCGCGGACGCGTGGCCAATCTTGAAAAACTTTTGAATGTGTGTAAGTGAGAGATTCGGTCCCGTGGACTCATGCTTCGAATACGACTTGAGGCGTAGCAGCTTGATGGGGGTCTTGGTGTGACCGTGAAATCTCCGGCTCGTGTTGAGCTGAAGAGCGTTCAACGCCGTTGGATTGGCCGAGCTGATGAGTGATTGTTCAATCCTCTTGAGATGTGTCGGGTTTGCCTGACATTCTGAGCATTCCATCGGTCCTGGGGCTAAAAAGCTGCTTGAGCAAGTTTTGTCAGAGAGTAATTGGCCATGAGAGGGTATCCCTTCGCGTTGGTGCATGGCGGCTGCTGACGGGTACTTTGGTACTCATTTGCATTCAGCTCACTTGAATGTCACTCGTGGACGATCCGGAGACCGCCCTACTCACTGACGGCAATCGGGAGCCAACAGGATGAGCTTGACCAAGTCCATCACAAAGTGTCGGTCTGTCAAACTCAGTCCGACTCAATCTAGCTGTGGACTAACGGGCGGTCTGAGGTTGACAAATAACTTTTCTTGAAAACCCTTAGCCATCTCGAGAGTTTGAGAACAAAGCATCGCATACATTGTGAGGTCACATGCTCTTATTACACATTAAGTGTGGCAATTCTCTGACAGTTTGCTATGAAAGAGACGGCCTAGGCGGACAGTCAAGAGTCGCATGACCAAACATGAAAGGAGATAGCATGACTCAGCTCATCTCAACTCAAATACTTGATTACATATAGCAACTCGGGTGTCTTCCCTCCCTGGATAGATACTACCGCCCATCAATGCCGTTAATGGCAGACCACAACCTCTGTACATTTAGCCTCCGACGACACGTAAGCTCAAGCAGACACGGGGCGCTCTATACCGGCTCCAACTTGAAACAAACTCACCCGTCTGTTGTTGTTTGCTATTTTGAAGTCTTATCCTCGTCTGATGACCTTCTCTACAGACTACTCCAGGTTCCTATGCTCAATCATTCTGTGCACCTTCATCCTCACCCAACCCCTCTTCAGTGTCACTATCACACAACATGATCGACAGCATACAACACCCTGTAGTTCAACTGGCACAAGCATAATCGAACATCCCCCGCCCTTTCTCTTTATCAGCTCTATCTAGGTCACGAGCACTTAGTCTTTCAATCCGACACATGTGCAACCTCATCCCACCCACCTCCTCCCGTGCTCGGTGTGCACTACACCGAGGTCTCAGCTTGCAGACATAATTCGTAAACATGCAACTCAAATGTCAACGATAACCGACATCTCGTATTACGGAGGACTTACTCTATCGTAATAAACACATACCTAGTCATATATATTTTTATCCCGTATCACCTGCTTCTATATCATACCTATTGCAGAATAAAAAAAGAGAGAGAAAGGGCTAATCATGTTTGCGGGGATAAGTCAAAATATAGAAAAGCCTGCAAAAACAAATTTGCTCTCGATCGGGGAATCGAACCCCGGCCACCTGCGAACTATCATTGTTAACTTAAGACTACGTCTCAAGCTAAGAGTGACAAGCAGGTATCCTAACCACTAGACCAATCGAGACTTCAACGAGGGGGCTCGACATAACAATGATGACTAATCCCTGCACAAACTCTAATATATAGTCATTGTCCCGAGTGCATCCCTTGTGGTAAGCTACACGTTCTCAGCTATTTAGGTCGCAATGTGGTCGATGGTAGCTAACACTGCTATAGCTCCTGCCTATTATTGACTTATGGATATGCCCATGTGATCTCATGTGTCTATCTACTTCAATCTCGATGCAGAGGCTCTGAAAATTTTATTCCACTCCTGGGCGGCTATCTTTGCAATGAGAGAAGTGACTCGTGTCTTTTGGCTTAATTAGAGCCACTCCTGACGGCTGTCTGCTAGGCTGTTGTCAAAGATCCCTGGTTATTGGCAGACAAGGATTGAAGGATATTATCGATCATGAGGGTCGTTTCTACTTCACATGATGGTTGAAACAGCGACGTCAGTGCCCTCGATATGCATATTGAGCTTTTGTTGTCGAAAAACACTGTAGGTCCGCTTCCTGTATCTTACCTTATTGAGATAGTACCACCCTCGAGCCAAAGTGCTCAAATCTGCGCTGATGTATGTCGAAGCGTGTATTTCGGCGACCGTGCTTCAGAAGGTATGATGTCGGTATCTCAACTCACGCGGTGCTGTCCTGTCTATATGTGAGCACCCCTCCCATACAATAGTCATATGCCATTATGGAGGTATTCGTTCATTTCTATGTACTTCTACATGCTTGAATTGAGATCAGGCCTTCTCGGTCACTTTTCTACTGCCTGTGATTGGTGATACTCCATGTCAACTGTCGGCGCCCATCCGCTTCTCGCTGGCAGGTTATACAAGTCTCTATACCGAAAATGGGAAACTTTAAAACACAATGCGACGTGCATGCCATCTGAGATGGTCTACAGACATTATTTTTAGCGTACTCAAAGTAGGATTCGTACAGCAAGCAGTAGTTATTAGAGGCGTGTGTTGAACGCATGCCTTGGGATACCGTGTAGAGGAAGCTAATGAGCTGATCGCGCGCGGTGATTCTATGTACCTATCTTCTTCATTATTGCTCACATACCATGAGTATTTATTCTAGCAATCATCAGAGTCCATATCTGAGATTAATGCGCGTTATGCTTTGCATGGGTTGCTTGATGCAATGGACTCGGAACATGCGCGATACAACACAACACGGGATTTTATAAGAACTACAAGCCGCAATATGCTCTCAGTACTAAATACAAGCATCCCAGTTGATAAATGTTCATTTCAGCGATTATGATATACTTGTTATGTCGTTAATAGTGATGTTTGCTGAAACCAGTTGACATCTCATACATTTCATTTCAAATTTCACATAATCAATTGCATATTTTAACACAAAACTTCCCCAACCAGCCACAACACCCCAACCCACATATAACCACATCCAAAATGTTTCGAATATTTACCTCAACATATCTACAAAGTATCAAGCTCAGAAAAGCAAGAGTCGCGTCGCCATGCGCAATTCAATTCAGCGAGGCTACCCGGAAGTTGATACACAGGACCCACATATCCGCTCTACAGAATTTGATTGGCTGGCTGACTGGCCTTGGCGATCAACACAGACCAGCACGCCAACCTCGAAGACAGACATCTTAAACCCAAACACTGCTTCATGCCTGTAATACACGTTCCCACACGCATCAAACTCGCGTGAAGCGCTGCCCACCTACTAGTAATGCATGTCGGCTGACTCTATGACTCACACTCCCTACGCCCTGCTTTATTTATTTCGCAGGTACCTAGAGTTGCAAGCTTCCGAGTCACGAAACCTTCTGCTGCGCCATACATGTGATTAAGATTTAGCTGTAATTGATGTTGAGTCACAGTCACGAAATATGATTACAAGTGTCATATTAGATAATGGGTATAATAATGATTAACTGATGCTGCGTCTACCCAAGTGTTATGTACAATGCACAAGATCTTGCAAAAGTACGGATCTACCCTGTAGTGAGTGAATGGCTTGATCAAAGCCCCCAAGTTGCGCGAAGAACGGTCAGCAAACCCAACTGTGAAATAAGCCTACACCGCCAGACCCCACGGACCGAGCGCGACGAGAGTGGAGCCACGATGCGACACGTGTCGTCGATCACCAGCGAAAACAAGTCGCAGAAGACATGCACAGCGAAGAATGAAGAAGAGTTGCATAGATGTTTTCCCATTTGGCGTATGAACTAGCGATGTAGTTCCATTGAATCTTCGCCAGCGACGTGGCTACTAGGTATCGACTGACATCGAACATTGCCGCATGGGCCATCAACTAAAACCCGAAGAGAATCCCATATCTCTTTATGGTACAAGTGAACACCCCTTTGCAAAAACATGAAACCCATTCCCATTGATCATCATGACCAGTAAACCACGCATGCTCAGTAGTGTGGTGGCGCCAAGTGTGTATGTAGTGTAGCGCGCGCGAGTGCGAAAGAAGTAATGACATTTCGTAACAGACGTGAACTCCCCAGTCCCAAATGCTCCCAAACAAGATCGAAGAACCCAATCTAGCCACCGAAACCGTACAGGGTGCGGCCTTGTCGCTTCAGGGCGTAGACGACGTCTAGCGATGTGACGGTCTTGCGCTTGGCGTGCTCAGTGTAGGTGACGGCATCACGGATGACACCCTCGAGGAAGGATTTGAGGACACCACGCGTCTCTTCGTAGATCACTGTGGAGGGGAAACAAGGTCAGCAACTATGATGCAGGCTGAGGGAGTGCTGGTGGAGATGCAACTTACTAGCTGAGATACGCTTGACACCACCACGACGAGCGAGACGTCGGATAGCGGGCTTTGTGATACCCTGGATGTTGTCACGAAGAATCTTGCGGTGACGCTTGGCGCCGCCCTTTCCGAGACCCTTGCCACCTTTGCCGCCTGTGTGAAGACGCGTTAGTTAAGTGTTGATGAGAGGTAGACGTGACGTGACTGCAGATGAGGCTGATGTCGCCGAGAGACACCGGCCACCGGAGGGGCAGCAGGAGCGGGGGAAGGGTGTATGCATGATGCGGGATACTTACGTCCAGTCATGTTGATGGTAGTTTGTTGGGTGTGGGATTAAGTGTTGTTGGTTTGGGATTGCACAAGGCAAGATGAGGCTGAATGCGGGTGGTTGATGATGGGATAAGTGGTGGATGGGAATGGTATTGGGAGAAGTTGGATGAACGTGGGGAAGAGGAACTGGTTGTTAAATAGGAGGAGAATCAGAGTGGGCGCCCGAACCGGATCAGCCAGCGGACATGGCAGGTTCTGGGCGACTACCTACTAGAACGCGGCTGCAGGAATTAATTACTAGGGTACGGTAATACCTTGGGCCAGCAGGCGCGACTTACTGCGAGACTGTGGATCGGACACGGGACGTGGGGCATTGGAGCACTGTGGGTGCCTGGCACTGGGCAGCGCGTTTGCAGGGCTCCAGGGCTGGCATCAGGCGTGTCGCAGTTCCAAGGTGCAGCAGCAATCAGCATGCACGCTAGAATCGACGATCCTTGACAGCGGAGCCAACCTTAGTGCGGCAGATCCAGCCAACCAGAAATCGCCATTCTGGCTGGGAGTCCAAACAAAGGTGGCTGCAGCAACATGCATACCCCACCCTGCAGTACCAACTCCGGGGCTTCCCTTCGAGGCCTTGCCTCATTTAGAGGAGCTGATTCCGAGGTGTTGTTGATGGCCACTCTGATACAGCCAATCACAAATTCGCATGTTCCTAATTTCACGCCTAAACAGGTGACGTTTAATAGCCCACACATTACTTTGAACATTGTATTGTAGGATTTCCATGAACCATGTTCTGCCATTAGGTATAGCATAGAAGTAGATCGGGGCTTCTGGTCAGGTATTGTCCCGTTACCTACTACTGGCCCGTATTACATTCAGCAATTTGTACAAGATATGATACCGTAATTATGGTTTAAGGCCATTCCCGTTCTTGATACCATTGTGATAGATACTTCACACAAGAGAAAGAAACACCGTAGGTAGGACATTAGCCATAGAGATGATGCCTAGAAACCTCGCCAGCAACTTACTTACCTGCATGCAATTCTGAACCACAGCGAGTCTCCTCTCTCGCACCTACAATAACAGGTCATCCCGTGTTTAAGCCATTAATACCCAGGTAGGTAGTGATATTACATGCATATTCGCCACGTCTGTAAACCAATAAACCCGTGACTGATATGTTCGTCCATTTGAAACATTGCCGATCTAATTATGTGCCAGTTCCCTAGTGCCTCGAGTGCTGGGGCTTCATACCCGGGCGAGCCGGGGTATCACGACGGTGAAAAAGCAGCCAATTACAGTTTCCTTATTGGCACAAGCGCGCCTAGGTTGGTAGATGATACATAGGTAATGGCCTCTTGAAGAATCGAGTAACCCAGATTAAGATGTCACGGTGCAGGTGCATATCACAATGTAAACCTTCGAGGTTGTGTCATCCTCGATCTTGGATCTCGAAATAGGCCAGAATAGGACTAAGGCAGCAGGAGGTGCAACGGTAACCCAGTGGCACCTTTGATCAGTTGGCCGCGTTTGGACTTGCCCCACCCACCTCGTTTCTAGTGCGGGTGCAGAAACTCTATGACTGCATCTGCCAATCAAAAATTAGCAGCGCTTTGGAGGCCGAGAAATGCCACCTAAAATCAAAGCACTCCAACACCAGAAACCGCACCCCTGTCTGCCCCCGAAAAATTCAACACAACGCAACTCGTAATTGCCCGACACACGACCCACTTTCCTTCCTTACTAGTCGCCAGCCACTGCCAATTCACGCGCCCCAAGGTCTGTCGCCCCTGCACTTTCCACCGCAATTGCCTGATTACCTATCTTATCACGCTAACTAAGCAATTACCGCCCCAGTGCACGCCCATTAGGCTTTCCTTTGCACAATCAGCCACGCTTCGATCCATCAATCCAGCCTGCCCTCTCGCACTTATTTAAGCCTTCCCCCCACCCCTCCGTCACTCTTCCACTTACCACTCTCATCCCACAC